AGCAGAATTTGTATCTAGCTTGGTGCCCTCAGAAGGTTTTGACTATAATCCCACACAATCTGTCTGTTTGCTTTGTGTTGGTACTATTGTGAAATGCAGTCCAGAGCAACTAGAGGGTACTAATGTATCGTGCTAAAATCACAGTGTTGGAAAAATGAGGTCATAGAACAGCCAAAGTAATGATTTCAGGATTAGGCAATTTCCTCACTCCGTCCCACATCTCAATACAGAACCCCATAACAAATGACAACCATGTTACTTATTTTTTTGGGTCACAGATATCACACAAACATAGGTTTAATCCATGTTTTCACTAAGGCACTATCATATATAACCAAAGTCCGGAAGTTGCAAATCTCAAGTCTTAGGTTCAGTCTGCTGCACTCTGCATCCATAACAACAAGAAAAAGCAAAGAGAAACCTCTAGATGCAAGACAGATGCCTTTTGGAAGAATCTGCTCTTCAATGGCAAGATAAACCAGGGAGATGCTAGCAGAGCATCCAAGGTCCGCACTGCAGTGGATCCAGCATTCTGGCTTATGCCACTCCCAGAAAATCATTTCCACATGTCAGAAGGGAGAGATCACTTCCTATCAAGACTTCATTCTTTGGCTGCTTTGCGTTGTGTCTGTTGTTTCTGCAGAAGCGCCAGTGTGTCTCGCTTCTCGATGCGACGCAACTGCTTCTTCTTTGCACGCTTCAGCTTTAGCGGATTCCGAATCTGGAGGAAAGAAATGAAAAGAAGAAGATAATGTTGTTGCGCTCATCTTTTTTGTGTATCAGACCTAACAACCCTCTGAGAAACAGTCAGCTAACAGCTAGTATTTGAATCTGCTCCGTGGGTCCTCCTCTTTTTCTCTTTGGTTGAACAGCAGGTTAAAAATGCTTAATAAAGAAATGTCCACCAATTACTAGCATGAATGACAAAAGGAAATTTCCAACTGCATTTATGTAGTATCAGCCCAGTTACAATGCTGTTACACTGCCATCCATGTTATTACATTATGTCCCCATACCATCATTCTTATAGATGATTTAGGAAGTACTCATATAACTAGACTTTCATAGCCCCAAATATGTAAGAGCAGCACTACAAAAGCTCATACTACCTACACTAGTGTATTCTCTTATATTGCAAACTTGGGGCTATGTTCTTCCAACTATATGGAACCCTCATTTTCTTCTGTTCCTTCTACTCTTGGAGGAGACAAGACATTCATTCCTCACTGTCCACTCAGATTGTCATTCTATCATATTTGGGGTAGATCTTTGCTAATTGTTTAAAAAAACAAAACCAACAGACAGTGCCAATGCTGACAGCTAACTAGTATCTCCAATAAAGACATCCAAGAGACTAAGCTGACTACAGAAAACCAGGAGTTGTTCCCTTAGCATCTAGTACTCTTGACAGACCAGAAGAACTGGCACAGAACCAGTGAAAAGAGGCAAATTGGCTGCCTACAAGCAAGGTAATGAATCAGGACTTCCTGTAATAATGGAGCAAGCTCATTACTTCATTTTCATTGAACACTAAAGAAGAATCTTTGTGGCAGGGATCAAGGGAACCAAGTGACGGCAATTTATATATATGGTCACAGTCTCAAGCAGGTCAACTTGGGGCAAGACAGGGTTCAGATACAGTCTGTGCAGTCATCAGATTTCACCTCTGAAGGTCTTTCTTCCTTAATGAATAGCAACTAGAATGTAGAGTCTACTGAATATTACTTGTAGGCTAATGATGTTATAGCACACATTTACCAAGGTTACTCTGATATCAGAAGATGACCAGATCTGGGTACTACAACAGTGCTCCCAGTCTGTCTCAACTGTTTCCTTTCAGAAGAAAATAAGAACTTGAGCCAAAACTTACAACTTGCACAATCTCTGCTTTCCGCTCATTCTCCAGACGTCTTTCTAAGTTCTCTTTCCTTCGCTGCTTCTTCTCCTGAAAAGGGGTGGGGAGATAGATAAAATGGTCAAACACACTGTTTAATGTACTACAGGACAATCAGTCTAGTGAAACGCTGAGGTAGAGAATGTCAAATGACTCAAGCAGAGAAAAAAAACAACAGACAGAAAATGCCAATTGTTCAGGTATACAAATGGATCCAGCATAAAAAGGTGCCACTCTCTAGTTAGTGTAAACTGTTCCACAGTGGTTTTGCTTTTAGTTGCTACTGATATTGTGAAAAACACTTTTCGTGTTGCAAAAAATGAATGTGATTGTGTACTTTAATAGTACTCATATATAGCTATATAACAAGTTACTAAATTGGTTACTTTGTACTACATTTCTCACCTCACGCTCTCTCTGCTTTTCTTCTTCCAAATGTCGGGCAAAGTCTTTGACTAATTTCTTTTCCTGACGTTCTTTCATCTTGCGTTCCCAGGAGGTACGCAAAGGCTTGTCCTTAGTCATATGGGAAAATCTAGTAAAGGGAAACAAAGTTATTGCTAGCCAAACAGAAACCAACTAGATGCAAAAGCATAACATCAGTTTAAGACCTCAAACTTGTACACTTGAATGAGTCTCACTGAGTCCTATTCTAAGTAAACAGTAGCTAAGCTACATCCCTCACCAACTGGACCCACCACAGACTACCAAATACATTGCAGAAAAGCGGAAATGTAATTACTGGAAATGATTGTATGGAAATCATAGATTCATTGTAACCTGCTATAACTTATAGTTTAATCCAGAACAGCACTGACAACAAAGTACTTTACACAGCATTTCCACTAAGTTTGCATACTAGGCAAATGTAACAGATGTAAGAAAATAAAAGCTTCTGTGGTGTAGTGGCTAAAGCATTCAACAAAGACTTCTAAAAGCACTTATTACTGGAACTGCCTCCCTATAAACTTGGGTACTGTTCCTTCCCTCACTGATTTTAAATCCAAATTGATTTTCACCTGAAAAACCTTTAGAATTTCTGATTAATGTTTTGTATCTTTAATATATTCATGTCCAGAGAATGGTGAAGGTTCTAGAAACCATAACTTAAGAGGAGAAATGTAAGGAGCTGGGTATGTTTATCCTGATGAAAAGATGATCAAGAGGGGACATGATAGTCATGTTTAATTTTTGAAGGGTTGTCATACTGAGGATGGAGCAAGCTTGTTTTCTGCTGCTCCAGAGAATAGGACCTGGAGCAACAGATTCAAACTACAGGAAAAGAGATTCCACCTCAACATTAGGAGGAAATTCCTGACAGTAAGAGCTGTTTGACAGAGGAAGACATTCACTTGGAGTGTGGTTGAGTTTCCTTCTTTGGAGGTTTGGAAACAAAGTCTGGATGGCTCTTGTGATCTCTTCCAACTCTCTTAGATTATCTGTACTGCCTATTTTGTTTGTGTCTGCATTATGTCTCTCTGTGTATGGGTTTTCCCCCATTGTATTTTAATACTGTATTTTAGTATTTTATATTATATAGTTATGTTTTATTCTGCAACTGTAAAGTGGCATGTATATGGATTGTTGTTGTTGTGTGCCTTCAAGTAATTTCCAACTCATAATAACCCTAAAGCAAACCTTATCATGAGATTTTCTTGGCAAGATTATTCAAAGGGGGTTTGCCATTGCCATCCTCTAAGGCTGAGAGAGAGTGACTTGCCCAAAGTCACCCAGAGAGTTTGATGGCTGAGTTGGGATTTAAACCCTGGTCTCCAGAGTTGTAGTCCAGCACTCAAACCACTATGCCACACTGGCTCTAGATGGTGCTATATAAATAAACAACAACAGTAATAATGATGTTCAAGTTCTTATTAAGCAGTTAATCTTTCACCTAACCCACCTCACAGATTTGTTGCTGGGAGGTGAAACTGAGGAGGAGAACCATGTACACCACCCTGAGGCATCGGGTGCAAAGACAAGATGGAAAAGAAATGGGGGTCCAAAACACACTGCAGAAATAATCCAGTTTCAGACCACTTTAACTGCCCTGGCTCAATGCTAGGGGATTCTGAGAACTGTGGTTTTGGGAAACAGCCTTCTCTGTCAGGGAGAGCTCTGGTGCCACAATAAACTACAATTCCCAGGATTCCCTAGCACTGAGCCAGGACAGTTAAAGCGGCCTGAGACTAGATTATTTCTACAGTGTGTTTTGAACTTTACTTAGGCTGCATCCTCACTGCAGAAATAATCCGGTTTGACACCACTTCCACTGCCATGGCTCCATGCTATGGAACTCTAGCTTGTAGCAGAGCTCTGGAGCCACAACAAACTACAAGTCCTAGAATTCCATAGCACGGAGCCACGGTAGTTAAAGCGGTGTCAAACCGGATTGCTTCTGCAGTGTGGACGCAGCCTCAGAAATAAGCAGTAACCGGCTAAAACTGGCCCTGCCTTCACTCTCCAAGCCAACCACCCCCGCCCTCTTTGCGGACTTGGCTGCTCTCAGCGCCTCGACCTCCTTCCTACCGCTTCTTGCCCGGGTCTTTCCAGACGCGCCCGGATTTGGGCTTCCCTTTGGGGATGGCGGGCGTCGCCTTCCGCTTCTTGCCCGAAGGGGCTGCCGGAGGCTTCCCC